TATACGGCTAGAAACTACTGGGATATACGGCTAGAAACTACTGGGGTATACGACTAGAAACTACTGGGATATACGGCTAGAAACTACTGGGATATACGACTAAAAACTACTGGGATATACGACTAGAAACTACTGGGATTTACAACTAGAAACTACTGGGATATACGGCTAGAAACTACTGGGATATGCGTTTAGAAACTACTGGGATATACGACTAGAAACTAGTGGGATATACAACTAGAAACTACCGGTAAATACGACTAGAAACTACTGGGATATACTACTAGAAACTACTGGGATATACGACTAGAAACTACTGGGATATACGACTAGAAACTACTGGGATATACGGCTAGAAACTACTGAAATATACTGCTAGAAACTACAGGGATATACGACTAGAAACTACTGGGATATACGGCTAGAAACTACTGGAATATGCGACTAGGAACTACTGGTATATAAGGCTAGAAAATACTGGGATATACGACTAGGAACTACTGGGATACACAACTAAAAACTAATGGAATATACGACTAGAAACTAATGGGATATACGGCTTGAAACTACTGAGATATACTGCTAAAAACTACTGGGATATACGGCTAGAAACTACTGGGATATACAACTAGAAACAATTGGGATATGTGACCAGAAACTACTGGGATATAGGACTAAGAACTACTGGGATATACGGCTAGAAACTACTGGGATATACAACTAGAAACTACTGGGATATACGGCTTGACACTACTGGAATATGCGACTAAGAACTACCGGGATATACGGCTAGAAACTGCTGGGATATAAAACTAGAAACTACTGGGAAATACGGCTTGAAACTACTGGGGCGCTAGAAACTAATGGGATTTACGGCTGTAAAATTCTGGGATATACGACTAGGAACTTTTGGGATATACGGCTAGAAACTACTAGGATATACGGCTAGATACTACCGGGATATACGGCGAGAAACTACTGGGATATACGGCTAGAAACTACTGGGATATACTGATAGAAACTGCTGGGATATACGACTAGGAACTACTGGAATATACTGCTAGAAACTACTGTTATATACTGCTAGAAACTACTGGGGTATACGACTAGAAACTACTGGAATATACGACTAGAAACTACTGAGATATACTTTTAGAAACTACTGGTATATACAACTAGAAACTACTGGGATATACTGCTAGAAACTACTGGGATATGCGACTAGAAACTACTGGGATATACGGCTAGAAACTACTGGGATATACGTTTAGAAACTACTGGGATATACAACTAGAAAATACTGGGATATACTGTTAGAAACTACCGGGATATACTGCTAGACACTACTGGGATATACGACTAGAAACTACTGGGATATACGGCTTGAAACTACTGGGGCGCTAGAAACTACTGGAATATACGACTAGAAACTTCTGGGGTAAACGGCTAGGAACTACTTGGATATACGACTAGAAACTACTAAAATATACGACTAGAAACTACTGGGATATACGACTAGAAACTACTGGGATAAACGACTAGAAACTACTGGGTTATACTGCCAGAAACTACCGTGATATACGACTAGAAACTATTGGGATATACGACTAGAAACTACTGGGATATACGGCTAGAAACTACTGGGATATACGTTTAGAAACTACTGGGATATACGACTAGAAACTACTGGGATATACGACTAGAAACTACTGGGATATACGACTAGAAACTACTGGGATATACTGCCAGAAACTACCGTGATATACGACTAGAAACTATTGGGATATACGACTAGAAACTACTGGGATATACGACTAGAAACTACTGGGATATACGACTAGAAACTACTGGGGTATACGACTAGAAACTACTGGGATATACGGCTAGAAACTACTGGGATATACGACTAGAAACTACTGGGATATGCGACTAGAAACTATTGGGATATACGACTAGAAACTACTGATATAAACGGCGAGAAACTACTGGAATATAAGACTAGAAACTACTGGGATATACGACTAGAAACTACTGGAATATAAGACTAGAAACTTCTGATATATACGACTTGAAACTACTGGAATATAAGACTAGAAACTACTGGGATATACGACTTGAAACTTTTAGGATATAGAAAAGGGGTTTTACTAATTAAACCAATATATTCACGAACACGAAAAATATTTTTTTTTACCAACATTTTTACATGTACGTTTACATTTACACGTAGATATATATTTGTCTAATTACTTTGTCAATTTCCTTGATATAGGGGTTGATAGCTTTGCCTGTAGCTAAATACTGAGATTTAAAAACTACCCTGATAACAGTTTAAAAATAAAATAATGCTGCAAAAATATCCTAAACTTTATGACTCAAGTTTGAACTCGTATTTTGTTGCAAATCATTAATGGTTTAATAAAAGAGTGAATGCAAAGGAACGTACTTTCTGTGCCACTGCACTTCAGTACGATCAATAAAATCGTACATAAATTAATGTAATTAATGAACACATTGTTTGCGAACTGTATATTATTTAGTATTAAATATATCATATTAAGATTTATTATCTAGAAGTGGCGGAATAAAAATATCCGCAGTTTATTGTTTTGGACAAAAAATGTTCTTCAGATTTTCCAAGAAAAAAGTAACGTCACAGAGTACGCTAGAGTACACTCCGGTTCTATGGTTTCTCACTCTTAACATTTAAGAGATATATATGCTGAATTCTTTGTCTTTGATGGCCAATACATGGTTTATAGGGTAACATTGTGAATCGGGAATTCCCCACTCCAAATAACACGTACAGTCCCTTTAATAAACAGGGTGTCCCACATCACATTAGATCGTCAACGGGTCTTAATTACGATTCTCGGGACTAATCAGAAAATTTAAGAAGTTTGAATCATTTTGAAAAAATTGAATAAGGCTGAAAAATAATTTTTTTTTCGAGTATTATGTTTTATTTTATCGTTAATGCAAGCTTGGAGATAATCTTATATCATATATTATATATATATTATATCATCGTATAATAAAATAAATAATAAAAAAAGATTTTAAAAATCAATAGAAAAAGGGTATAAGAATGAATTTAAAAATGGTTGTCAAATGAAACTCAGGTTATGATATGGAAAAAGATAATTTGCAACTATTCACTTTTTATTGATAATTGAAAGCCAATTTTCTTTCTTTAAGATTAATTGACGATGACAAAATAAAAGATTGAACGAAGATTAGAATGTATATATTACAAAGAATGTATATACTAACAAGAATGTATATACTACAAGAATGTATATACTACCAAGAATGTATATATTACCAAGAATGTATATATTACCAAGAATGTATATATTACCAAGAATGTATATATTACCAAGAATATCCGTCTGAAAAGAGCTTTCTACAAGTTTAAACTCTTGTCCAGCATCATCATAATATTTATAACACTGTTATTTTGGAGTGTTTTAAGTCCAAAACATTATAGCACGTCGTGCCAAAATAATAGTGTTAAAGTTAATTTTTTGAAAACGTTTGTGTACTTGTCTTATTTCAATGGATCAAATAAGCTTTGAAACAAAGCAGAAGTAAAAATATAAAGTTGATTTCAATTTTTTTTTCATTTCAATTGAAAAAATTTAATTTGGAAATATCCTAAATTTTTTGAAGAAAATCCAGGAACCAATCACAAATTTATATAGTTGAAAGGAACTGTACGCATAAGTGACCCTCCATGCTAAGGGACTGTAGGCATAAGTGAACCTCCATGCTAAGGGACTGTAGGCATAAGTGACCCTCCATGCTAAGGGACTGTAGGCATAAGTGACCCTCCATGCAAAGGGACTGCACGTGTAAGTGACCCTCCATGCAAAGGGACTGTACGTGTAAGTGACCCTTCATGCAAAGGGACTGTACGCGTAAGTGACCCTTCATGCAATGGGACTGTAGGCATAAGTGACCCTCCATGCTAAGGGACTGTAGGCATAAGTGACCCTCCATGCAAAGGGACTGCACGTGTAAGTGACCCTCCATGCAAAGGGACTGTACGTGTAAGTGACCCTTCATGCAAAGGGACTGTACGTGTAAGTGACCCTTCATGAAAAAGGGACTGTACGTGTAAGTGACCCTTCATGCAATAAAGGGACTGTACGCGTAAGTGACCCTCCATGCAAAGGGACTGTACTGTAAGTGACCCTCCATGCAAAGATTGCAAAGTACCCAATTCACAATGGTACCCTTAAAAGCATTGTCTGATCAAGTATGGATTAGATATCAATGTCTGCAGTCTTAAAAACTGTTTAACTTCCATTGGGATTTATCTACAGAAGTGACTGCGCATTTCTACTGCAGAAAGACATATAAGAATTATCAGAAATAAACACTCTTAACCCTAGAAAAATAACAATATCTTCCACATTTTTTATCAGAAAAAGGTTTTAAGGATACCGTTGTAAATCGGGCATTGCCATCTTTGCATGTAGGATCACTTGAAATGACGCTTACAGTCCCTTTAAATTCTATTTTTCAGCTAATTTTCTCCTCCTTGCAAATCTTAAATGCCTGTTCTTGTATTACACTAGAACCTAATTAACATGGTCAAGATTAGAAAATCTCTGTCTCGAATACAAAAATACAAAAACATAAAACAGAAAATTGGAAATTTACTGCAACCCCACCCCCCCCCGCCACTGTCTTTAACGAAAGGTATTTTTTCAGAAAAATGTTGTTCATGTAGACGTTTTGTGCCATCAACAGCTGGATATTGCAGATGACAAATATTATGTAAGGCACCATTTTTCAACATTTAAATTATTCCCAGCAGTGGTCGAGAGACTGAAGTTTTCATTAATAATTGGAGACTACTGGAGAGTACCGGAGGGTTCTAAATCCAGTGGAGAGAAAATTATTTCTACTGGAGAGCTTTAAAATTTTTACCAAAATATAAATTCTACCGGAGGGTTTTCTATTCCACTGGAGTACAAACTATTCATATGGAATTTGAACCTAAATTAATAATTCTACCGGAGGGTCTTTTAATTCATTGGAGGAATTAGATTGTGTAGAAAAACAGGTTTGAATTTTTCCCCAAAGTGATTCATATCTTACAAAAGCATTTAAGATGTATTTCTATACATTACTTGTCTGTCTTGGATTTTAGTTGTAAACAGAAAAATCTTTAAAAAAATTATCTACATTTTGCAGGTTTGTAGATATATCAGTAACAAAAAGCTAAAATTATTACCCAGTAGTGTTTATAATAGCAATAGTTGAAAACCCGGTAAAATATAAATCACTGTGGGGAAAAATTCAAGCCTTTTTAGTTCACACAGAACATTCCTCCAGTGAATTAAAAAACCCTCCAGTAGAACCAATGACGTTTTCTGGCTGAGTGGAAAAAATCTGGTGATTTTAATGCTCGGCAATGTTGTAGAAAGTTACAAATAGCGTTCAGTTTCCATTTCTTTGACCCACTGAGTCTAAAACTAAAGAACGAAAAGTCACGACTTAAATGTTAAGTTTTAACTTAAATCCCACTTCTGGCTTAATTTATAAACGGTTGTAACTGGAAATGTTTTGTTTTCGGTTACATAATAATTTGAAATTAAAAGACAGTTGATCTGATGAGCAATGGTTAGTGGTTACGTAATTTATCTCTCGCGTAGATCCTTTTCTCTGGTTAAATTTAATTAGCAACTCATTATTTTTCAGAACTTTTTAGCTAAATTTCGCGCATTCTTTAGTTTTAGACTCAGAGTCTTTATGGTTGTGGAAAAGAAAAAGGAAATCTTATAATGAAAACTTTTTTAGCGCTGTAGTGTGTCTAAATTTAAATTGCTCTGTTTGACTTTTGTAATAGTGTTAAGAGAGTCTTACCTTATTTGCACAAGCGCTTTCTTTATTTCACAGTTCTCATCTGGGGGTTTCTTTATTTCTCTTTTGGGGTTTCTTTTAATTCAAAGCTTGGGTTCCTATATAGCTCAGCTGTATTTATTTTATTTCTCAGCTGGATTTCCTTCATTACTCAGATGGGGTTCATTAAATTCAAAGCTGGGGGGGNATATAGCTCAGCTGTATTTATTTTATTTCTCAGCTGGAGCTCCTTTATAGCTCAGCTGGATTTCTTTTTATTCAAAGCTGGGGTAGGGTTCCTTTATAGATCATTCGGGTTTCCTTAATTTCTCGGCTGGTTTTTATATTTCTCATTGTGGGTTCCCTCATTTCTCAGCTGTTTTTTTTGTCAGCTCGGTTGCCTTTATTTCTCAGCTGGGTTTCCTTTTGTTCTCAGCCGGGTTTCCTTTTGAACTCAGCATGGTTTCTTTTATTTCTCAGCTGGGTTTCCTTTTATTTCTCAGCTGTGTTTCCTTTATTTCTCAGCTGGGTTTCCTTTATTTCTCAGCTGGGTTTACTTTATTTCTCAGCTGGGTTTCCTTTATTTAACAGCTGGGTTTCCTTTATTCCTCAGCTGGGTTTCCTTTATTTCTCAGCTGGGGTTCCTTTATTTCTCAGCTGGGTTTCCTTTATTTCTCAGCTGGGTTTCTTTTAATTCAAAGCTGGGTTTCCTGTATTTCTCCGCTGGTTTTCTTTTAATTCAAAGCTGGGTTTCCTGTATTTCTCCGCTGGTTTTCTTTTGATTCAAATCTGGGTTTCCTGTATTTCTCCGCTGGTTTTCTTTTAATTCAAAGCTGGGTTTCCTGTATTTCTCCGCTGGTTTTTATTTTTCTCAGTGTGGGTTCCCTCGTTTCTCAGCTGTTTTTTTGTCAGCTGGGTTGCCTTTATTTCTCATTTGGGGTTTTCTCCGTTTCTCAGCTGATTTTTTTCTCAATAAGGTTTCCTTTATTTCTCAGCCGGCGGGTTTCCTTTTGAACTCAGCATGGTTTCTTTTATTTCTCAGCTGGGTTTCCTTTATTTCTCAGCTGGGTTTCCTTTATTACTCAGCTGGGTTTCCTTTATTTCTCAGCTGTGTTTCCTTTATTTCTTCAGCTGGGTTTCCTTTATTTCTCAGCTGGATTTCCTTTATATCTCAGCTGGGTTTTCTTTATTTCTCAGCTGGGTTTCCTTTATTCCTCAGCTGGGTTTCCTTTATTTGTAACCAAGGTTTCCTTTAAATTTAATTTGTGTTGAAATAACGCTAACAAAATTAGCTACATTATATAGATATAAGAAAGTAAATAAGATATATGCGCGCATGTATGAATGCAATACGCATTATGGATAGATAGATAGATAGATAGATAGATAGAAGGATAGATAGATAGATGGGTGGATAGACAGATGGATAACCTTTTCTTAGAATTGAGATAGTTTAAATATTTAGTGAATACCCAGGAATTTTTACCCGTTAACAGATCAGTGGGTAGGGTCAGTATATTCAGTTAAATATATAATGATAATAATTCTAGTTAAACTTAGAGTAAAGGTGATATATTTGAGCAAGGTCATGATCATCATTTCCCTTGTTTAAAATTACAAAAAAACTTTTTATTTATCAACTTGAAAATTTTACACAACACGACCTAGTTTCTATTAGATATTAGAAGAAGCAGGTATTGATTAATGTAAACTAGAGTATAATAAACAGAAACTAATTATTGACATGACGTTATCTATTATCTATTGTTACGATTTTTAAAATTTGTAACTGATGTAAATCTTCAAGTGCTCTGAAGTCAGCATATTTGTGTTGTAAATCTTGGGAACAAGCATTGGTCTCCATTTTATACAGACCTTCAGATTGATTTATTCCTCTTCCATATCCCACGGTGATAACTTTGAGGAATCAAGTATTTATTCTTTAATTTAAAAGTGCCCGCATTACCCAGGGTTACCCAGGGTTACCCAGGGTTACCCAGGGTTACATAGGGTTACCCAGGGTTACCCAGGGTTACCCAGGGTTACCCAGGGTTACATAGGGTTACCCAGGGTTACCCAGGGTTACCCAGGGTTATCCAGGGTTACCCAGGGTTATCCAGGGTTACCCAGGGTTACCCAGGGTTACCCAGGGTTACCCAGAGTTACCCAGGGTTACCCAGGGTTATTCAGGGTTACCCAGGGTTATTCAGGGTTCCCAGGGTTATTCAGGGTTACCCAGGGATATTCAGGGTTACCCAGGGTTACCTATAAAGAATAACACTTCAGAGACTATTAATCGTTAGTTAATTGAATCGTTATTCTTAAATTGACGGTTCCCTGCAATTGTATACATGTTTCTTTTACTTCCAAACAGGGAATATGAATAAAGGGAAAGGAAATGGCGCTGGTCTGGCATGAGAAAGCCGGTCGCACTGCTTTGTACACCAGTACTTTAAACTAACACACACTCTTTTGTTACAGACACTCACTGCAGTCAAGGAAATTGTAGAACAATGTCGTCGATTATAATTAAACTTGAATAACGGGTAGTTTATTGTAAACTTCAATCAAATTATATTGTTTGCATGAAAATTTGGCTTTACAGTGTTGACTTAAATATGTAAATAATACATTACATGTATATTAAACTTATTTCTAAGTAAACAATTAACAATAAACAAATGTACTCTCCTAGGCTGTACAAATACCGAGATTCTTACGTACTGTATAAACCTACAGTACACACCTTCGGTACTTTAAACTGACACACACTCTTTTGGTACAGACACACACATGACGTTCCCCCCCCTGCTTCCAAATCACTAAGATATCTGTCATTTATTGAATATATTGAAGGAATAAAGCCAAACTCAACTTTCAGATAATTTATGAGTTTCAGGTTGTCATTCAAGACTTATCCTTTGTGGGTTAGTTATAACAATTACAAATTACAATCAGCAATTTAAAAAACGACAATTATTTAATATTTGTTCTATTTATTACAGGAGTGTGGGGTATCTGATGTAAAGATGGATTGAATTGGAGAGAATTCTGTTGGATTATTTATATGGTAACAATGGCAGAAAGTCTCAGGAAAGTTTATAAATAGAATATATTGTTCAGACTTTTTTCAACTTTCTTTATTATTAAAAAATTTATTTTTATCCTTCTTCTTGTTTTATTTGGTGTTTGACCAGTCTATGTAAAAATGATTTTTCTATTTATGATCAGTCTAGTATACTTGATCAGTCTAGTATTCCTATTATATAATTTACCAGTCTAGTATTTCTATTCCATAATTGATGATCCTGGTATTTCTATTCTATAATTGATCAGTCTGGTATTTCTATTTTATTATTGATCAGTCTGGTATTTCTATTCAATTATTGATCAGTCTAGTATTCCTATTCTATAATTGGTCAGTCTAGTATTCCTATTCTATAATTGATCAGTCTAGTATTCCTATTCTATAATTGGTCAGTCTAGTATTCCTATTCAATTATTGATCAGTCTAGTATTCCTATTCAATTATTGATCAGTCTAGTATTCCTATTCTATAATTGGTCAGTCTAGTATTCCTATTCAATTATTGATCAGTCTAGTATTCCTATTCAATTATTGATGAGTCCAGTATTCCTATTCTATAATTGATCAGTCTAGTATTCCTATTCTATAATTGAATAGTATAAGCGAGGAGCAGGTAGCTGAACTAAAACAAGCGTTTAATGAGTTTGATGTTGATGGTGGTGGAACTATAAACACGAGGCAGGATTTTATTGGAATCTCAGGAATTTATAATATCTATATTTATGTTTATAAAAGATATAATTTATTATATTCATTTTTATATTTAGAATATTTATATGAAAATAGTTTTATTGGAACAAATAAAAAGTAGTTCATTAATTATCTGTTAAAGGATTTGAGTCTTAAACTACAATTTTCTTATCCCTGTGTCTTTTCAAACTGATGGTATAGACACAACTGCGACATTGGTTTGCAAAGATATAAGGATTAGAAAATGAGAGTTTGTGAGAAAGACTCAATTCCTTTATTATATTAAGGGACAGTACAGTAATATGGTAATGATATCACTAGGATACATGCATAACTAATTCATAATTGATCAGACAAAGCTTTTAATGGTACCGTTGTAAGTTGGACATTGCTATCTTTGCATGACCGAGGGGTCACTTAAAATTACACATGAAGTCTCTTTAATTATTCGATACAATCCTGACCCAGAGAGCTGGGTTATGCTATGAGAGCAATGGGGATGAACCCAACAGAAGCAGAATTACTTGATCTCATTAAAAATACTTTAGTATGATACTGATGGTTCTGGACAGATAGAGTTTCCTGAATTCTGTAATATGATGTCCCACAAGATGGGAACTGTAAATGACGAGGATATGATCAGGGTTGTACATACTCCACATAGATCTACAGAAAGGGACGGTTTTCGAGTTAGATAATGATTTTAAAGGGACTATTTCCCCGAGCACTTGTTGTTTTCCCTGTCCACCCAAGGCTAACTAGTGTTCGGTTTTAAATTCAAACACGTTTTTGTCTCAGAGTTCAACAAATTGACTTACAGAGTTGCTTTTTAACATTTTTTAAAAAACTTTTTCATCTAAAACGCATCTGCCGACAAAAAAGTATTGAAGAGAAAAATAAAATAAAAATGTATTTTTATTTTGTCAAATTGGGATTGAAAGGACCAATCAGTAAAATTAGTTCCCACCGATCTGAGAAAGAATCATAATAAATAAATAGGCGATAAAGCTCATGGTGTTAAGTTGACAGCACTTTCAGTTCTAGTTTTAGAATCTTGTTTTGAATTCAACAAACTAGTCAAATTTATTTTTACATTTTTAAAACTTTTTAAACTATAACAATCCTGAGATTTCACTCGATGCGTGTTAACTTTTTATAGAACTTGCTCATGGTGTTGACTAATCGTTACTTTATACTTTAAAACTGCTGATTAAAAGGACAGACCGGCTATGTAAGGTACAGGGTGTCCCAAAAAAAACATGGGAATTCAGTGACGATTGCGATATCGTCTTTTCAAATAACTCTTTGATTTAGTATAGTGATACCTACTGAGATTGCTGTAATCTGTAAAATTTTCGTCTGCTATTTTTACAATTTGTTTGTTTATGTTTTAACTTCATGCAGTTGTACTTAGTTGAATAAGAACATTCTAGTATACAAACAGAGTAAACTCGGAATTCAATTTTCATCTTGCAGAGACATTATAGACACATCTTTACAGCCATTAACCGTTCTCATAAAATAAACTCTAGCAGACATAATAATATTATGGCTTTTGAAATTAGGTATTACAATGCTAATTCATTACAAAGACGATATCAAATTCGTCACTGAATTCCTATGTTTATTGGGACACCCTGTAGTTAAATTGAGTATGCAGTGTTGTGGACAAATTCTTTAGGATTCATTTGAGACATATGAAAATTTTCCACGATGTATAATTACTTAGTTTGAGCCCAAAGTCGACGTTCAAAATCATGAATTTGGGTGGGTACGTTTTCAGAATCGGTTTTAAGTTATTAAATAACGACGACGAAGAATATAGTAAAAATGCTAAACTAATTCGATGTTTAGGAACATATTTCTCAAAAGAAAATTGTCAATAAATCGAAGTTTAATTTATGAATTATTCCCCTTTTCATCAATATATTGAATTTCTTATTTTCTATGAATTTGTTCGCAGATTTCTTCAAATTCTTCAAATGTCGTCTTTTTAATAAAAACTCCAGAAAATCTGCAGAAAATTTTTGTGATTAAAGAGAGATAATAGAAACTAATAATTGAATAAGATTACTTATTTTAGATGATAAGAGTTACTTAAACAACTAAATAGTTTACTGTAGAATTTTGTTTACTTTTTTGTCGTCGTTATTTAATAATTAAAAAAAAATTCTGAAAACGTATCCAACCAAAAGTACGATTTTGAACGTCAACTTTGCGCTCAAACCCAGGATTTACAGATTTTTAAAAAGTTTTATATGCCTCAAATGAATCCTAAAGAATTTTTCCAAAACACTGCATACTCAGTTTAACTAGTTTACATAGCCGGCCTGTCCCTTTAATAATTCTTCCGATCGTTTCTAAAACACTTTAAAATATGGGAATTAAAGAGACGGGTCCATAATTTGGATGCATTTTTATCTGACCATATTTCACAAACATTCTCTTTAAAAATATTTTGAAATATGAGATTCTTTATGAATTATGAAATATGAGAGAATTTTTCATATTTTCTGCAGATTTGAACGTCTAAGAGATGAGAAGTAGTAAAACAGCTGAAATATGCCAGCTTACATTTTTGACATTTTGCCAAATAGGCATTCTTTTAAAGCATGAATATTGTATATTGTGTAAAGTTTCTCCTTTATAGAATACTAGGTGTTCAGGGACCTTCTATTTCTACTTTAAAATGTGGCTCTACATATATGTGAACATTTTCTTAAAACAATAAAACAATAACAAAAAAGTTTGCGGATTTATCAATATAATTTTGAGTGGATTTCTAAAATTTTACCAAAATAGTAATTATTGGAGAAACAAATTTTTTGCAATTCTGAGTATCTAATTGCCTTTCTTTGAGCTTGTGAGTTGCCTTACAAATTTTGAGCTTAATCGGTTCAGCCGTTATGACGTTTATTGGATACAAACAAACAAACAAACACTTAAGCAAAGTATATATTTATAGAATATAGAATATAGGAGATAAGTCATACTCTCGTTAACATGAAAAAGAATATTTCACCAAGTCAAAGAAATTGAGTGTTTGCCACAAACTCTGATTTTCTAACCACAATATCTTTGCAACCCTATGTCGTAGGACCCTTAATATCTCAAACTATGAACTGTGTATGTTAGATCAAATAGTCAAAGTTTGAAATATCAAAGATTTACACAATTACGTTGAAAAAATATAGCGATTAGAAAATTTGAGTTTTTTGGAAAAGATTTTTTTTTTTTTTTTGATACTTAATAAACAGACTTTAATTATGACCTAAACAATATTAAACAAATATAAAACAATGTTAACCACACGGGACGAAACTTTAATGATGACCTAAACAATATTAAACAAATATAAAACAATGTTAACCACACGGGACGAAACTTTAATGATGACCTAAACAATATTAAACAAATATATACAAGGTTAACCACACGAGACAAGAATTTATTGATGATCTAAACAATATTAAACAAATATAAACAAGGTTAACCACACGAGACAAGACTTTAACGATGACCTAAACAATATTAAACAAATATATACAAGTTTAATCACAAGAGACAAGACTTTAATGATGACCTAAACAATATGAAACTAATTATCTGAATGCTGAAATTTGGTTTCTGTCTAATATATTGCTTAAAAACAATATCAAGAACAATATTAAAAAAGCAAGTTTGAAGTGAAGAAAACGAAGAATTGAGTAAAAATATATTTTATAAAGCCGTCTTGGAATTTTCATTCTCTGCGGGTAACATTGTAAATCTAAATAAATAGATTTTAAATCTTAAAAATGAAAAAGAGTATGTATTTAACTGTAGAATGGCATTCCGTGTACTGGATCGAGATGGTAGTGGTACAATTAAATCTACTGCTTTTAAACATCTCATGACGCATATAGGTAAATATCAAGCTTAGAAACTAGAAGAAAATACTTACTTGCCTTAAACTCCAATTTGCTAATACCAATATCTTTGCAATCTGATGGCGAAGACCTTTGATATTTCAAACTATGTGCTCTGTTAGATCAAACAGTAAAAGTTTAAAATATCAAAAATCTGCTCATCAAGTTGCCAAGATTTAGGGATGAGATTAATGAATATCTATATGTGTGTGTATATGTATATATATTTGAAATATATTTAAATATATCTATATATGTGGGTGTATATGTATATATATTTAAAATATATTTAAATATATCTATATATATGTGTGTATATGTATATATATTTGAAATATATTTAAATATATCTATATATATGTGTGTATATGTATATATATTTGAAATATATTTAAATATATCTATATATATGTGTGTATATGTATATATATTT